AGATGAAAAACTTTCCAAACACTGACTTTCCCAAAATGCAAATGAGGAGAAAGAAATGAAGTCGTAGCACTATCAGCCTTTCTACGGTTCTTTGAGTACTCTATCAGTGCTCCATTGATGAAGGTGGTTAGGGCCTTATCAGCATTGCTCCAACTAGGTGACCATGCTCGAGCAAGAAGTTCATTGCTTCCTTTCCTTGAGTCATCTTCAAATACTAAAGTGTCTGTAGGACATCTTAACAAATCACCTGGAAGACATCAAGCAATGTTTTATGGCAGAATCCTCAAAAAAAATTGTGATAAACAAAAAGCGGTAGAGAGAACAATGGCTGTTTAGCAGAAAGCACATGCTTGACCTCCATTTCTTAAATGTCATTTTTTCCAAAACATTTTCAACCACACATTTTATCAAACCCACAACTATCAAATTTTCAATCAAAGATTCAACTTATATCATAATCTACTAAAAATCTGATTTTTATCCAAACCAAACATGGCAAAAAAACAATTGGACTTTAGAAGCATAAGCAAAGAAATTCAAATTCTACAGAATAATACTTGACAAAAACAATAAGTTCTCTTCATCAATAGCTACTAAGCTTGACTATATTATTAATATTTACCCAATGTCAGTGGTGTGTGTTAGTTTAACAGGTAAAGCTAATTGGTCAGCATGTTCATTTGAATATGTTGGTATTACTTACCAAATACGCAGCAGAAAAGGATATTTAGTCTCTCACTTTCCTTCTGCATCTATTTGTAACACATGCTCCATGATTTTAGCTACTTTCATGCACACTTGAAAGTTCCATTATTCTGAAGCTGAAATTGCTAATTTATGTAGCCACACATCAAACAGGGTCTTTTCTTCGTTTCTTCTATTATTTTCTTATTTGTCATCATCCTTCAATCCCTATTATCCCTTTATTCTTCCCTTCCGTTTTCTCTCCTACACTTCCATTAAGTCATATACGAAACACTGTTAATAAAATGGCCAATGCAAGTACATTTTTGTAACTCGAGTTTCGAAAAATAGTATCATGGCACAATGTTGTCGATTTTATCTTGCAAGTGGAAAGATCGTAATAAGTAGTAAAGTGGACCTTTTGAGTCTGGATTATCGTTCGCACGATGACTATATTTTAGTACTCAATTTATTATTCTTAACTTCTATTTAATGAAAATAAATAAATAAAAAATAATAATTGAATGTGATTTTTAAATCTAACTACTAAAAAATTCATGAATGCAACAAAAAATGAGTGAAAATTCAATTAATAAATGAGGATTAGGGCGGAAAAAATTCACTTATTGATCACCTTTATTTCTAATATCGAGATTCATAAAATTAAAATAGTGTCAGGTCGAATTCTTCTATTGTATTCAACTTACTCGTCTCGAGTTCTCGTTGAACCTATTTAATTAGTTCAATTTCATATTTCTATGCAAATTAAATTTAATTAAACGAAACAACAATTCTAAGAATTTCCATGGGACCGCAGTAATTAATATAGGTATCTTTACATATTATATTAATTTATCGAATTTTAATATGTGGTCTAAACAAGAATCCGCATCTCTACGTAATTATTGTTCACAAAATTATTGAATAATTGGCTAGAAAAATTCAATGCATTAAAAATATAATTAAAATCCACACATAAAATATAAAAAAACAATAATTTCAAATAAAAGAAATAAAGGTCCCAAATCAGTTACATTGTTCGCCCTAAAAATAAATTTAACTACGCATATTGATGAAAGAAAAACATGAAATTATGGAAAACATCACCAGATTAATTGACGGAACGTGAATAAATTTTTGAAACGTGAATCTACAATTGGGTTCTGCGTGTATTCCTTCCAACAGCTTCCTTCTATTTTTCCCTTCGTCTACGTCAATCTCATCTGCAGCCTCAAAGTGTGTGCAAAATTAAAAAAAAAAAAAAATTATCAAATTGGCTGCCTCCTATTTCTCTTTATCTCTCTCCAAAAAAACAATAACTAGCAGCCACCAAATTTTGCATGAAATATATCAAGTTGGCTCCTCTCTCCTTCTCGTTTTCTGTGCATATATACATATATATCTATAAAATCTGGCAACCACAAGTTTAATCATAAAGGGACCCTAATTTTTTTCCCCAAAAAACTCCCAACCTCCTGCGTGAATTATAATACAGCAGAACTATATAGCCACCATCTTTGACTTGAATTCAAAGTCTTAAATGCAATATTACCCCTCAAGTCCTCAATTTTTCATTATAATAAATTTTAGTCCTTAAGCCGCTTTATTCTTGCAACTCATGTATTCTTTGGTTCAATTCAAGTCCTTCAATTTCCAAAATATGAAATTTGATCTCCAAATTCTT